TGCAGACAAGATACAATTCCTGCCTTCAGGCCCTCAGGCACCCATGAGATGGAGAGGAAATGGTAATTCCGTACCACGCAGAGGGCCACAGGCAGAGGAAGAGCCACAGAATGTTCTGTCTAGAAGTGGTTTAAATAGCTTCTTTGCATGGTGATTATGATTTGACTGAGCTGATGGTTGGAGTCTTGTGTTGCCTATTCTTCTACCATTTTCAGCAGAGTAATTCAAGTCTTTCTATTTCCTGTATTTTACCAATTATATCCATACGGTCAGCACCAGCGCTCAGCCTCAAACAAGACCTTTCATTCAGCATCTCAGCTGGCTCTTGTGTTATCAGTACTAGAGTAAAACAAGGAAAAAATTCACTTCAAAATTAAATATATATATTAGTAAAGTAAAACGGGTATATTAAATATATATTTTTCTCCAGTCATAATCACTGAAGTTAACATCTGCATATTAATTTTCTATTCCTCATGTTAACTTTCTACTCTGCTTTTGAGTGGAAAGTCCAGGAATCTTTGTAAGACGGATGATTTGCCTGTGGAACAAGATGTAAGACCACTGAAAAACCAGATCTCCTTCTTCCTCCACCTGCCCTCCCTGCCCCCTACACTCCTCCCTAGTCAGTCTGGAGCTGAAATTTCAGGGGAGTCACAGTGTGACTTCTCACCTCAGCATTAAAGCCTTCCCAACATGCATGCACTTTTAGGATTCAAAGCAGTTAGATGACTAGATAACAATATGTATATACATGTGCACATATAGATATATAAAATTATAAAATTTTCTTATTAAAATACAAAGGAATGGTAATTTCTCATTTTATAAATAAAGGATACCTTCAAGATAAATTCCAAGCCAGAAAGATTTTCAGTACAGTGATGGCTGACTCGTAACCAATCTTTTAAATTATTTTTGAGGGTAATTTTAGCAGTTCTGTTCAAATGATGCTTTTTTAAAGACTGCTATTTTTCTGAGTGGAACATATGTCAGCAGAGCAGGATAAAAGCCTAATAAAAACATATCTGATTATAAATGAGATTTTCCAGTAAGTTGCTTTTCACTAGCCAAGGTACTTGCCATTGTCCTTGAAAACCTAGGTTCCCAAGGATCTACATACGAAGTTAGCAATATAGCTCTTCATGACAAAGGAGTGTAGATCCAGGAGGCACTATATAATTTTGTGGGCTCTTCACATGTGCATTTTAACCATCCTATGTTCCTAAAAATGCTCCAATTCCCAAAGTTTTATGTATGCTTGTGCTCTCGACTATATAATCTATACACTTACACATATAGATGCTAAAGGGAAGAGTTATGTCGGCAAACTCATTCCCAAAGCATAGTGAATTTCCCATTGTTGTTTTGTAATGATTGTCATGAAGGAGACAGTCAGAAACCCACCACCTGGGGCTGGGGATTTAGCTCAGCGGCACAGTGCCTGCTTGGCAAGGGCAAGGTCGTGAGTTCGATACTCAGTACCGGGAAAAAAAAACGACAAAAAAAGAAACCCACCACCTGCAGCTATGTACCACCAACCCAGCCTGGGCCTTCTGAAGATATTCTTTGGAGCATTCTCTTGTTAATGATGAACTTCTGTCTGGAGCCTGCCTCGATTGGTGCTGCTGCTGTATCGCCACCTCCAAGGTCATCACATATCATGAGTGCTGGCAGCCGTGAGTGAGCATAAACTCACGACATAAAAGGCTGTCTGGCCCCAAAGGCTTGTGGTACACATAGTTTACCAAGGTTGTCTCAGAAGCCAGAAATGGGAGGCTAAGGAATTTGTACCTATGTGGATCTGCCTATAACTGTCCTGTAATCGAGGATTAATCATTTTACCCTGAATGTCCTTAGCTTTAAATTGAGAGAATTATAGCGGATTTCTCTCAAAAATTCCATACAGCTCTCACAGTCTAATAAAAACCCAAACACAGAAGTCACTCTATGACCAAGCAATTTCATATATACATATATATATTTATGCATATATATGCATACAGACACACATATGTGCACATACACACACACACACTCCTGTGTGCAAGGTTGTTCATTGTAGCATTATATGTAATAATAACAACATTGGAAAGAATGTAAATTATCACCATCAGGAAATGAAGAAATAAACAGTAGTATTAAAACACATGCAATAAATACATCAGTGAGAAGTAATATCCAGAATTATAACTAGTAACATGGATGAATCTCACAAATATCCAATGAAAAAAGCAAGCTGCCCAAGCACATGTAACCTATGATGATGTTACATAATATTTTAAGACATGCAGAGCAATACTATGTGCAATTTCCATAGTATTGTAAAATTGTAAGAATATATGTGAGGATGCTTTGTACAGAACTTAGGAGTTGGTCACCTTACAGTGGGTGGCAGCTGTGAAGCCCCTCGAACAATTAGAATGCAGGTAAAAACAGTGGCTAAGTAATTACTCTTTTAAAAAAATGAATAGCCTTCTGAGGTAATCATTTTCATTCATTCATCAATTTAGCAAATATTTATTGAGCTTCTACTACTTATCAGGCACTATTGCAGACACTGTGGGTTTAGGCAGGAACAAAAATGGGCCAGCCTCTGTCCTTACAGAGCTTGCATTCTGAGGATTTCTTGGAATAACTTGTAGGTAGCAAAGATGATCATCAACAGGCTCTTTTAGAAATCTCTTCATGATCCTCTGTGAGCCTCTGAGTTAAACTATTCCCTCTGTGCCCCCAGGATACCCTGACATATCTTAGCTGGAGCAATTGTTATTTGAACAGGTTGCCTTTGTGCACCAACTCTGCCATTCACCAGCGGTGAGGCTTTGGACTAGATAAACAGTAACTATCCTTCCTGAGCACCTAATTTTCCAGGCCCTCTGCTAAGTGTTTTATGTTAACTATTGCATTTAACCTTTCTACCAATCTATCAAGGTTGTATTATTTTTTGAATAAGGAAATTGAAGCCCAACAAGATCAAGTAACCTTCTCAATGTTACTTATGTGAGTGATAAGAAACCAGGAAGTCAGCCAAAAACAAAAGAAGGACCCAAAAGATGTTAGGTTCATCAAGACCAGAACTAGGGTGAAGCAAGTGAGAGGACTTGTGGATGTACAGGATCAGATCTTGTCTGTATTTAGAATTTGGTTATTTTGTTCATCATGAGGGTCATTTTTGCAATGTTCTTCTAGTATTACTTATCTTGAATTTCTAACATTACTTATCTTGCATGCCCACGGTGAGAGCCTCTCTTAGCTCATCTAGTGCCAGTATCATTAGTAGTATCAGTAGTATCACACTGGAAGCGGGAATGACCTATGTATTTGTTAGCTGCCCTGCTAACCTCAAAGACATTCAAAGGTAGCGCCCATGTCTTACGTCCATAAAACCTACAGTGATCTTGGCACAGAGTATGTGTATGTTCAATAAATGTTGGTCGAACTCAACTTGCTGCTCCACAATAATTCAGAAGACGACTAATTTCTATTCCGTGAAAGGAGAGCACTTCAGTCTCCTTAGACACCCACTAATGCATTGTGTATTATTGTGGGCAGTAATACCATTAATATTATTTTTATATTCACCACAGCACTCAGTGCCAAATACTTAACACATGTGTCTCAAATTCTTACTACAAAGCTGGACACTGAGGCTCACCGGAGTAGAGGCATTTGCCAGAAGCTGACGGCTAATCAGTGGCAGTCAACATTAAACTCAGATCAAGGCAAGGTAAAACCTGGGCTCTCTCCACTCTGCCATCTTTCTGAAGCTCCCACTCTGCTTTCCACCATACAGATGTCGTGGTGGCGTTTTCCAAAGTGTACATCTTAAAACATCAGCACTATATGGAATTCTGTGATTCAGTAAGGTTAAACAGACTTTTCTACCTCTGAATTTCTGAGAGCTTTCAAAAGGCTAGTGCGGGTGTCCCTGGGAACAGTGCTTGTAGGCGGCATTTCTCAAACCTGTGTGGCCAGGGAATTTCTTTCCATGGAGCAGCTCTTCCATCGGTATTGTGAGGGATGCGTGTTGGGAAATAGTGGGTTATGATCCTGCAAATCCTCTCCCATTTCGCAGTGCCGAGAGAGTAAAAACTGGGGAAATGATTATTAAGTGATGATGTCTTCTTTCTTCCTTCATCACTATAAACATGAAAAGTCATTACTAGATTAAATATAGCTTTGAAAATAGGAATAAATCACCCAGCTTTCACATTAAGATGTTCCTTCTGTGTCTTTTTCAAATTTATCCATCTCCAAGCATATATCCATAGGGATATCCATGTATCACTTAAAATACTCAGACACTGTGATAAATGCTTCACATATGTCATCTCATTTAATCTTCACAGGGACTCTTGGAGTTAGCAAATGCACTCCCTATATGAGACACTAGGAAACCAAGGCTCAGAGAGGCTAAGTAACATCTCCAAGTTCCACAGCAAGTAGGTGACTGAGCCTCTGTTTTAAACACAGTTACTTCTGACTCTACAGCTTATGTGTTTAAGCTCTGAAGTGGTGAAATCCTTACTTTAGAACCTGCAGAATGAAAATGTATCTTGAATTTACTACCAGAGAGTCTATATCTTATCTTGGATCATCGTGCAGCTCAATTCTATGTTGAATGAGGAAAGAACATTCTGAAACTGTTCCTGCTATTTATTTGCCCTTCCTACCCTCCCCAGCCTTTCAGTGAGTGTCACAGGGCTTCATGGAACATAATCCGCAATGCAGGACCACGTTGTTTTCTGCTTTATGGCTCTCTAATCGCTCCTGTTGTAAATACATTCAGAAATGATTGTGGCTTTTCCTGGAAGCCTCAACATTTCAAAAAGTGATTTACTTTGATTGCGCTTTCACCTCATGATTTCAAAGATTAGGTTACTTGGTCCAGGTGGTCTTATATTTTCCCCTGTAAATGTGTTTATGTCACCCCACAGACTGAGAAATTTCATTTCCAGGTTTTTTTTCTTTTCTTTCTTCATTTGATTTTCCTGCAGGAGGAGAACTGAATTCTTTGAACTTGTCAGTAAAGGAGAATATGACTGGAACATCAAAAGCCATCGTGATGTGTTTCGGTAAGAAAAAGCTCTTGTTTGTGGGTTTTTGTTTTGTTCTTTTCATCCCTTGAACATTCAGCCACATTTTTCTGGCAGTACTAAGAACAGAGCAGTGGGTTTTAAAGTAACAAGTCTTACCCTACACTTACAACATCCCAAAAATAGTTGAATAACTACAGGCAAGATAAAAACATATCTTTTGTCATATAATTTCTTATATTTTTACCTTCTCTCAATAAATCTGCTTTCCAACTAAGAAAATGATATCCAAATTAACTATTTCAAGTGGCTATGATTTCTTCATTTTTGTGGGGACAGAGAAGAGTACAAGGCTGGCCTTAACTCATTATGTAATCCAGGCTGGCCTCGAGCTCACAGCAATCCTCCTGCCTCAGCCTCCTGAGTGATTACAGTCATGTACCACCATAGCCCACAGAAAGGGATTTTTTTAACCCTAAAATCACTGTTACCCAAGCACAAAGAAAAGTGAGGCAGTAATTTTACTTTTCGTTAGAGACAATAGACTGTGGCTAGCAAGGCAACTGGAATTACTTTGGCAACGGAAGCAATGATGCTGTTCTAAACTCTGCATGGCACTTGTTTAGAAAGGCCAGCGGCAAAGCATAGTTGTCGTGGGGCATATTCTGCAGCCCTCCAGAATCCTGGGCCTCATTCCTCTTCACCTCACACCCCACCCTGCCACCTCACAGGCCCACCTTACTGGCCCAGACCTGTGGACTCGTGTTTTGTTCTCACACTGCTGGGGTTACTGGGAACGCTTATGAGGCCAGGGTCAGGGCACGCTGCGTCTGCAGCACAACCAAGCAACCACTGGACTCTCCAAGCCAAAGCCGTACCACAGCCCCCGTGTCTGTGCTGTAAAACATCTGCACCAACCTGAAACACAGGGCTTTGCTATCCCTTCCCTCCGCTCTCACCTCACTCGAGTCTCCTGAGGCGGGGCCCCCACCACAGCGCCCTCCACCTCGCCCCTCTATAATATTTCTTCACTTTATCTTTCCAAGCCTTTCCTTCATCCTCAAGGGTGGGGAAAGGTAGAGCAACCTTCCTCCTTCGAGACTAACACCTCCACCCTGTCCTAATTCCATGGCCTCACCTCCCCCAGGCCCTACCCTGAGCCCACTGCATCAATTATTGATTTAGCTTCCATTTTAAAAGCCCAGCTTTGTCCCTCATGACCTTTCTAGACTTTGAAACATGTTTCTACCTCCTCAATCAAAACATGATCCCTGAAATTCCCTTCCCGGTGTGCCATCTTGGTTCTCTCCCTCCCTTCATCCCTCGCTTCACTCGGCACGCACATCTTCTTACAAGGGAAATTGTCCTTTTGTGTAATTTTTGATTCCATGGGTAATAATGTAATGAAGTAAATCATCGCAGATATATCCCCAACCTCCTTTGAGCTTCACCCTCAATTCTTATGCGGGTTACACAGCTATCCTTTCTTATCAGCGTGTTGTGTCTTTGCCAAAGTATTTACATGTCTGTGTTCCCTTAGGAAAAGTACTGTGTAGAGTAAAGGAATTTTTGTTCATTTGAACATAGATCAAACATTTAAATGGCAATCTGTACTTGCTTTGCCACTTAACTAAATGCTTGGTAGTTTCCTCCTGTCTGTACCTCATCATTTTTCTCATTGCATAGCAATTCAAATATGGAGCAACCACAGTGTTTACCCATCCCTCCACTGAGGAATTAAGCCTACGACACATGATTTCTGCTTTTGAAAGTCACTGGTAACCTCCCGGAATCCAATGCTACAGTCTTCGTTCCCTTCAGCTTCCTCAATCACGTGGTAACCCTCAACTGCGTTGACCTGGCCTTCCTCAGCGGTCCCTTCAGCCTCAGAGTGTGCAAAGCCAGGCTCTCCTAGAATTCCTGCTTCTTTCAGAATCCTCCTTCCCTGCTTTGTCCTTCCCTAGTCCTTCTTTCTCCCCTTCGCAGGCGACAGTACCCTGAGGACCTGTTTGGATCTTTTTGCTTGTTCCTCAGCACCCTCACAACTTGAACTATAGCCTTCTCTATAAGTACCGTGCTACGCTAACTGATCACACCACTGGAGCATCTGCTCTCACCTTCTCAAACAACTTCCAGCTCGTTTCTCGACCCTCGTCTCACTTCTGAGCTCCACACCTAAAAGGCCGTTCTCGTTCCATGTTTCCACGTGGATGCTTTCCTGAGGAGGTTTTCAAGATTTTTGGCAGAGAACCTTCTCAGGAAGCACTGTCTTATTTGGAAACACAGGTTGTAAAAATAGAGGTGCGCCCAGCACTGTCCTCTGCCCCAGATCTGCCCTCGCAGCCTCCTCTGCTCCATGGTGAGACTGTAACCATGGTGTCCCACGGGTGGAACTCACAGAAGCGCTATCTGTAGAGAAATTAAGAATAGTAATAAGACCAACCAACAATCAGCTTGCTTTTTATCATCACCATATGCCATCAATTCTACACAAAGTCAGTGATGAACTTCTTCTCCCTGGAGAAATCTTTTGCTGGTATAAATTCTAAACAATTGCTGAGGTTACTGTTGAATATCAAATTAATTGTCATGAAAGCTTCAAGTTGACATATGTTTATTACTCATCCTTTCATTGAACATGTACTGCACTGCAAGCTGAAACTAAGAATACCCAGGTACACAGTAGGCCCCGCAAAGTGGGCTCCGTGATGTGCTTTCAGGGTAAGGTCCTGTTTGGAGGCTTCCTAACTCAGTGTGGGTATAGTTTGACCCCCTCCCCAGCCTCGCAGAACTTCACACCCGTGCTTTTCCCAGTACATGCAGAATAAACAATGATAGCACTATGGTGGGAAAGATGAAGAAACATAATGAGGATTTTCTGTTTTGTCCCTTCGTGTGACCATTTGTGATTTTTATTTGTATTCCAAATTTAAAGCAGTGACATGGGATGCAAACTGGAACACTTAATATTTGTGTTTGGTGAGTGCAAATTTCAATTCCTACATGAAACTTTTTTACTGAATTTGGGTATGCTGTACTGTATCTTTATTGTTTTTTTTTTCTGTTTTTTTTTTTGTTGTTGTTTGTTTGTTTTGTTTTTTTCCTGTGCTGGGAATCAAAGTCATGACCTTGTGCTTGCCAGGCAGGCGCTGTGTCGCTGAGCTAAATCCCCAGCCCCTGTACTATATCTTTAAAGTGAAAATGTATTTCTTTAAATTGCTGATTTTTTCTAAACTTTAGAACAAAATCAAGAAGCTAATCATCACAAAACTATTACTGAAGTAATTTTGCCATAGAACAGAAAGCTATGCTAAATGTTCTGCTGGAAGAATCGACTAACCAGGTGCACCGTCAGTTTTCTTTGCACTGAGTTTAGAACAGAAACGGTGGCACTCTCCTTCTAGACCTTCCAGTCATGGCACTGAATGGACTGACACAACCTAACTGTAATTTGGACTAGAACTTAACAGTGTAAATTCCCTTCCTACCCTCTTGCTCTAGCAATTTCACACCTTGCAGGGGAAAGATCTAAAAAATATGACAAATGCAGGCATCCTGCAGCTCTTCCTCTGTAACCTTCCATCCTTACCCTGCCTTTCCACTTTCTCTGCCTTTCCTAGTTTTAGGCTGTTATCATATCAATTTATGCTTCCTGTTGCTTTCCCTCTTTCCTTCCACTCTCTCCTTTAAAGCATCTTCACATCCTCCACCTACAGTTTTCTTCCTAAAGGTGTAACCAGGTCCTACTTAAATCATCAAGCTGGATCGATTCCCCAGCCTTGACTGACTTCCCAGAGCCAATAAGATAGCAGTTTCAGCTGCTCCACCCATCCTACCTCCCCTTCTCTTCCATCCTGGTGTGATAGACTCTCTGCTCCACTGTTGAGTATTCTTTAGAGAAAAGATTCTTCTGACGTAATGGATTCTAATGCTAGCTTTAGCATTCCCTGACTATATAACAGTGGGCAAGTTACTTGGACTCTCTGAGCCATAATTTTTGGATCTGTAAAATTGAGCTAGTAATACTATCCTTACCTCATATAAAAACTGCATGTGTCAGCCCAAAGTAGCTGCTAAATAAATGCCAGCTGTTAGAATTATTGTCACCTGAGCCCCTAGCAGACACTCAATAAACTTGCTGATCTATTAAGGTGGTATGAACTTGAGACATTTCAAATGACCAGTCCACTAGAACTAAGTAATTTCTCAACTTCTGATAGAAATAAGGGACCTCACAGAGATTACTCCCTCTGTAGGAGATTCTGGAAATCTGGTTGTTCCTCAAAGTCTCCTCCCTTCAGGCATGGATAGAGCCTAAAATGAGAGGCACTGGAGTAGAGTAAGATGGAGTCTGACAGGTTTGGGATAAACAAAGTCCTGAATACTTTACTTACCTTAGGAAAATCTCTCCATCTTTCTGTTCACTTATTTGTAAACAAGAATAATATCACCTACCTCTGAGGGATGTGATGAGGATTCATTTAGCTAGCAGTCAGGAAAGCAATCAGTACAGAGGAAGGTACACAGTGAGCACTGTACAAGTGCTTGTTACAGAAGTTCAAAAGGCAAGAAGAGACTGCTGCATCTCTTTGCATAGTGTGTAACACAGGGATATTTGGGTAGGGTTATCCTAAGAGCTGCTCTATCCCAGATGGCTGCTGATGCTAGTCCTGCCCGGGTGTGCCCTGAATGACCTATTGTGATCTGTGACTTTGTCTGGCTTGCTGGAGGGGTTTCCTGAGGAAGTTACACAAACCTCCTAGAAGAGGCCTCTCTACCATCTGGGCAGCAGACATTGTTTCCAACGTGAGATCCAGCAGGGTATAAACTGTTAACACCTGACAGCAGGAATGACCCCTCTGACCTCTGACAACACACCTCTTTCTTCCAAAAGCCGTCAGCCAAGATGTGACTTCCTGGCTCAAGCCTTGTATTACTTTTCATCACATACTGCTGCTTCCAGTACAAAGAAAGCAGACGTAGGACAAAGAGTACGCCTTGCTTTCCTCTCTCCCATAACACTGAATTATAAGCTATCTGCAATGTGAATTACTCCCTGTGTTTCCAAGGTTCAGTGTGAATCCTGGTTAAATTTGTTCCTCGGAAATCTGATTCAGATCATTTCTGTGCTTTCTTATGTGCTGAAATTAATGAAAGCTGTAGCTGAGTATGTTTCTTCTTCATAATGCTTATAAAACATGATGGGAGCCAGGTAGTAAACTGGAGGGAGACGGTGTGGCTCTCAGCCGTAAATCTTAGCTCAGTGGAGCCCATGAAAATGCAGGCACTCCTTACATGGCGTGTGCCTCGCCTCTTTGATACGGGTTTTCTTCCATCCCCATCAATCAGAGATAGGTCTGTAAACAGATTCATCAGCCATGTATATAGTGTCCTATACTGATTCCCTTGCTTATAGTTTTTTTTAATTGCATTGTCCATTATAAATTATTTTAAACAGAGCTTGCTTGGCTCAGGTAGAAGTCATGCTTTGCCTCCTTGATTTGCTGCTGACAAAACAAAAGGGCCACCAGAGGCTGAGTGAGAGCTTTGTCTTTTGAAGCAGAGTGGCCGCATGACGGAGATGCCTGACACAGGGACTATAAACAGCCCAGCCCCTGTTGAGGGAAAGAAGATGTGAGCCAGCTGGCCTCATTTCCATTTTATTTATTTATGTATCTAGGACGGGTTTGTTTAGGAATGCAACAAAAGATTATTCAGGCTGTTTTGTTTGGTTCTGTTTTTCAGATCAATGTTAATGACAGCCTGTGACCTTGGAGCCGTGACCAAACCGTGGGAGATCTCGAGACAGGCAAGTGGTGATTAATGGCAGAGCTCAGCAGAGGAAGGGCTGGGGGAGGGGATATTCCCAGAGCCCCGACTGCCCGGTGCTGAAACCCTCCTCAATTTGCATCAGTATTAAGGTGGGGTAAGAGAACAATGCCAGGCTCGTCGTGCTTCCACAGAGTGGTAATATTTCTCGTGCTGAGGTTTTTGTAATGTGCTAGATCTGAATAATATTTTGACCATTTCTTAAGGCAAGCATTTCAAAGACAGTGTTTTTGAGTAGTTCATTATGTCTTAGCACAAAGTCCTGCTTTTCACATCTGAAAAATAGAAGGAAATTCTATCTTTTCATTACAAAGACAGCAGAGATATCAGAGGGCTCGCTGGCAAAAATGTGCAGTATTCAATTTAGTTTAAAGGTCTAAAATAATGCCCTTTACGCCTGTGTGTGTATTACTGCCCCTAAACATTGGTTTTATAGTAACAATAGTTTTCAGTCAAGTAACTACCTAACTCAAGATCTTTGACTACTGGTAGTTTTCAGGGATTAATAGATCTAAATTTTCTCTCCTTCATTTTTGAGAAGTCTCATTATGTAGCCCAGGTCAGTCTTAAACTCCTGGGTCCTCAGTCTCCAGAGTACTGAGACTAGTTGTAGGCTAGCTCTTTAAGTTTCATGAGGCACCTACTCATATGGACTGGGGGTTCCAAAGTAACAAATTTGTATCTTAATTCTTGACATTTTAGGAAAAATAAGATAAGTTCATATATCAATAAATAACTGCTTTGTGTATGTCTTGGTTACTTGGTTGCTGAGACAAAATACCTGACACCCAAAGTTAAGGAAGGAAAAGTTTATTTAGCTCAGTTGGTGGAGGTTTCCGTCCATACTTGGCTGACTCCAAGGCAGGATGGCATATGGCAAAGGGCAACAGTTCATGGCAGTGGTAGATAGCAAAAGCAATAAGAGTGCAAGGGGAGGAGCGGCAGAAAGAGCAAGCCTCTTTCCCTCCCTTATATTGTATGCAAGCTACCCTTCCCAGGGCAGGTGTAGCACTCACACCCATATCACACCCATAATCCCAGCATTAGACCATGGATCACCCTAAACTCTAGAAGCCTGCACCCATGACTGCATGAGGCTTTGGGGGAACATACAGACACAAACCATAACAGTGTATATCATCTCATTTAATCTTTAAAAAAAAAAACCTCAGAAGTAGGTATAGCTACTATAGTAGACGGAAGAATGGCTATGTAAAAATATCAAGTCCTAATCCCTGAATCCTATAAACATTACCCTAGGAGGAAAGGGCAAGTATGATTAAAGCAGGGTAGTGTTCCAACAGAAATTATCCTGGATTATCCTCATGGATCTTAAATCCAATCACTAGTGTCCTTAAAAGAGAATACAGGGGGCTCACACATTCAGAAGGCAGTGTAAAAGTAAGGCAGAGAATGGAGTGAGGTGGCCACAAGACAAGGAATTCCGGGAGCCATCAGAAACTGCAAGACCCAAGGAACACGTTCCCTCCTGGGGCCTCCAAACAGTGCACAGCCACACTGGCACCATGATATCTGCCCAGGGGACCGATGAAGAACTCTTGCCCCCAGAATTATGGTAGAATACATTCCTGTTGTTTCGGCCAACATATTTGTGGTAATTTTTGGTGGTTTTAGGAAATAAAAACAGTTGTTATCCTTGTCTCACTAGTGAAAAAGATGAGATTTAAAAAGGTAGGTACCCTGAGGTCCTCTAGCTAGTAGGTGGTGGAGCTCAGAATAAATCCTAGCAGATTAGCTGCCCAGCCTCCATTCTTTTTTTTTTTTTTTTTTTTTTTTTTTTT